CTGGCTTCCCTTCCCTGCTCCGGTGGGGCTGGGCACCTGGCCCGGTTCTCTCCCAGCCCCCGACTGTGCCCGCCACCCACTGGTCCCTGCCTGTCCCGTGCAGCCCCCTCCCCGTTCCCCCACGCTCCTCAGCGCCTCCGAGACGACCCCTACTTCTCCCTGGGACAGAGCCGAACCCCAGGGAAAGAGCGCCGACTGACTGCCGTCTCGATCCTACTGCTGTGCCACTTGAGCGAGTGCTGGAATTCTCTGTGCCTCGGTTTCCCCATTTCCAGCTGTGCAAATAACCCCCTCCCTTGATGGCCCGCGTGAGGATTCAAGAAGATGGCAAAAAAAAGACCAGCAGTCTGTGCACAAACCCTTGTCTCCTGCACCTGTGTGTGAGCGCGGCGCGCGGCCCCCGGCCCCCGGCCCGGCCAAGTCCCCTCCAGCCACGCCTGCCTCCTCCAGGTGGCCCTCAGCTCCAAGCCTTTGCAGGGCCGTCTCCTGCCAGCGTGTGTGGGCTCTTCCACCACCCTTCCCTCTGCCTATGTATCCTTTACAACAACCGAAAGTCGGGTATCACCTCCTCCAGGAGTCCTTGGTGAGCCCCTCCCCTCCCCTGCAAGCCTGTTAGGGGTCACCGGGCAGAGACAGCCCCCCAGGGCCGCCTGCCTGCCAGAGGGGAGCTCACAGTCCGAGGGGGGTATCAGGAGAGCAAAACAACAGGAAGCAGGAAGCAGGGGCCTCTCTTGCCTCCCCCAGGGCGGCTCAGGGTCCTCTGCACAGCGGGTCCCCTGACCCTCAGAGGCGGTGTGCACTGGCCGGGCTGGGGGCCGGGGGCTGGGGGCCGCGCTCACACACAGGTGCAGGAGACAAGGGTTTGTGCACAGACTGCTGGTCCTTTTTCGCCGTCTTCCTGAATCCTCATGCGGTCCATCAAGGGAGGAGGTTATTTGCGCAGCTGGAAATGGGGAAACCAAGGCACAAAGAACTCCAGCACTTGCTCAAGTGGCACAGCAATAGGATTGAGTAGGTGCTCAATAACCCTTTCTGACCCCGTCTGTCTGAGGTGTGATCTCATTGACCTGCTCGGCAAGCCGGCCAGGTGCTGACAGGGTAGAGAGCACTTAGCAACAGAAGATCTGAAGCTGGCTTTTATCTTCCCACTTTACAGGTGGGGAAACTAAGGCCCGGGAAAGGCACGTAATGGCTGGGGCAGAATAGAAAGGTGGGCCGCTGAGTTCCAGGGAGTATGTCCTTGACCGCCAGGCCACACCACTCTACCCGTGGCCTGCCGTGGCCCGCTCCCCAGTCTGGCTCAAGTCTGCATCCTGGCCCCCACGGGGCTTGTGTATGGGGTAGAAAGGAACGGCGGTTGGGAGAAAGGGAGTGGTCACCGCCGCTGGTAGAACTCGAGGTCTAAGCTGATCTCTCCGGCCTGCAAGGCCTCCGAGGCAGGCTTCGCAGTTCCCCAAATCCCGCAGGGCGCGGCTGGAGAGCCCGGGAGCCAGGCCTCAGGTCAGAGCGCCCCCAGGCCACGCGGAGATCTGGTGGGGTGGCAGGGCTCGGCTGCAGGCAACCCGAGTAGCCCAGCCAGGCAACCCGCACATTCCCGGGCTCCTCCTGCCCCTGACGGCTGGCCCGGCGGCCCCGCCACTCCCCCTCTATCTAGCTCGGGCCGCTGCTCGGGGCGGCGTGCTGGGTGCCCGGGAGGGGCCCCGCCCGCGGGCGGGAGGACGAGGGGGCGGGAGGAGGGCGCGCGCCCACACCCCGCCCCCGCCCCGGAGCCAGCCCGCGGAGCCCCAGGCCAGGGCGGCGCAGACCGGCCCAGCGACTCGCCCGGGCTGCGCGCCGCGACGCGCTGCCTCCGCCGCCACTGCCGCCGCGTCCGCCCTCGTCCCCAGCCCCGGGGCCCTCGCCGAGAGAAGGTAACCAGGCGCTGGCCCGCGGGTCCCGCAGCCCCAGGTGGGCGTGGGCGCGGCGGGGGAGACACGGCGCCCGCGGGCACTCTGCACCCTCCTAGGCTCCCCGGGCTGGGGCGGGGGAAGGGGCCCTCCTGCCGAAGGCGCCCGGGTGCCAACAGGAAGGCCTGGGGCGCGGGCGCGAAGCCGCGCAGGGACGCTCCCAAGTTTTGGGTGGTTTTGCCCTGTTGCCGGCGAACGGAGGGCGGCAGAGAAGTGGGGGAGCGGTAAACCGGGTGGCAGGAGGAGGGGGCGAGCAGAGGGCCGTCTTTGCTCCTTCCTTCCCTGGGTAAGGAAGGGAAGGGAAGGGAAGGGAAGGGAAGGAACCGGGAGGGGGCAATGTCTTGGAATGTCGGGCTCCTGGGCCGGCGCGCAGAGCGGGAAGTGTATGTGTTGGGGGGGGGGCAGCGCTGGGGAGATGGACCAAGCACCCTGCCCCCTCCCCAACCGCTGCATTCCAGGCCCGAGCGGCGGATGAGGTCATCCCGTCCGGTTCCCCTCCAGCCGAGGCGGCCGGCTGTCCCCTTCCCCCGGAGCGACCCTCTGCGTTCTAACCCGCTGCCCCCGAGGGGATGTCTGATGGCCAAAGGCTCTCCCGGACTTCCAGCCCCGGCCGCCCTCGGGACGGTCTGTGCCTGCCCCAGCCACTCAAGACCCGCGAAGTCTCAAGCCCGCGTTCTAAACCGGGACGCGGTGGCTCCGAGAGGCGGAGGGACCGGCCTGGAGGCGCAGAGCGCGGCGCGGGGACGGGAGCCCAGGACTGGGGGGCGGGGGGGGGGGGCGGCCGGTCGGCCGGCCCGCAGCCGCTGCGCCTCGCCGAGCGGAGGGCGGACTGGGCGCTGACTTCGGGTGCTGGGGCTGGGGGCGTCTCTCGCTCGCCCCTTTTTCCTGCCTCCCCTGCGGCCCGCCGTGCTCCCTCTCCCTAACCCGCTCCTAGTCCGGAGTCCCCGCGCCGACTCCGGACAGCTTGCTGCTCTTCTCCGGCCTCAGTTTCCACGTCTCTCCCCCTCAAACAGCTGGCATTTGAGAAGGGTGAGAAGCCAGGCCCCCAAGGAGCTAACCTCCTATTCCAAGGGCCCTAACCAAGATAGGGTCCCGCTGCCCCTTGGGAGGGGTGGTGTCACCCAGCGGACGCTGGCGGGGAGGGGGCTGTGAGCACGCCACAGGCCTCCAGGGTGAGAGGCGGCGCCGCTGGCCGACCCCGCAGCCTGCGGTGGACTCCCAGGTGGGCACCCGGGTGCGGCCGCCGCCGCCGCCGCCAAGGCCTCTGCCCACCCTGCAGTCGGACCCGCTCCTCGCCCCCTCCCAGACCCTCACCCCCCGGCCACAGGCGTCTCCACAGCGGCCCCTATTGGTCTCCCAATGCGTGGTCCGGCCTGGCGCCTCAAACCTCGTCTTTGCGGTCGTCACCACCACTGAGTAAACTTCCGTGGGCCCTGGCCTGCCTTCTGTAGGGTAAACATAAGGACGCCTGCGACACCGAGGCTGGGACACAGGCGCACTGAGTCTGCGGAGCTGAGTTCCCCTGCCTCCCACACCTGCCCTTCCCCAGCTCAGGGGCTGGCGCGGGCTCCTCCAGCCACTCTCCCTCATCATCCTGGGGTCTTCACCGCTCCCCGGCATGTGCTGCTGATTGGTGGAATCCCGGGAGGTTCCCAGCCGCACCGCCCCTTCTGCTGTGCGGCCTGGGGCAAGTTAATTCCCTCCTGTGCCCAGTTTATTTCATCTGTAAAACGGTGTCGTGAGCATTAGCAGGTGGCGTGCCAGGGCTAATGAGGGCAGACAGGTCTTGCACCAGGGCACCCAGAGTCCTGCTTGCTCCAGGGCCAGGTGGGGCACACCTGGTCGCTGGCCATACCCTGTGGTCAGCACCAAGGGCCAGACAGCCGCCACCAGAGTCCCCAGAGTGAGAGCGGTTGGTATAAGGATGTTGGGTTCAAACCGAGAGCCACCCTGCTCCGGCTTCTGGGGGTTCGATCACAGCACCTTCCACTCTTACAGCCCTCCTGGGAGGGGAGCAGCTTTCGGGGCTTTTCTTACTTTCCACTCGGGGAAAACGGGTCCCCAGGGTTAGTGCCCTGCCCTGGGCCCCACGGCATGGCGGGGGCCCCTCTATAGCAGCGGGCAGTGGGAGACCTTTCAGAGGTGCCCAGGGGCATTTGGGAGGTGGGGCCATCGAAAGGCTGGAACAGAAGCTGTTCTCCCAAGTCACAGCGGCCACGGGGGTGCAGGGGGAGCTGGAGCCCCTTTTGCTGAGACAGGAGGGGCCGCTGCAGGAAGCCAGGGCGATGTGGGGCTAGGAGAGAAGTGGGGGTGGCCATGTGGCAGACACAGTGACCCCGCCACATGACATTTCAGAGTGGCCCCCCCAACCCCAGTTTCTTTTTCCAAACATTCACCCCTCGTCTGCAGAACGGGGAAGCCTGGCCTGTGCCATGCGCCTGCCGTGTGACCTTGGCTGAGCCCCTTTCCTCTGCCCCTGGGCTCTGCCCGTGAAATGGGCTAACCCCGCAGCTCCGCGGGGCTGTCGGGGAGTCAGGTGACATCACGTCATGGCGGGCCAACTGCCGCGTGCCTCCTGACTACAGCCAACATTCCACCAGGGCTTCTCGGTGCCAGGGGTGCCAGGGGTGCCAGGGGTGCCAGGGAAAGGGATGATTCAGAACACCCCCCCCAGGGGAGGAGTCAGGGATGGGGGAGGATCAGATGGTGGGAAGGAAAGAGAATGCAGTCAGAAAACAAAGCAAGCTTTGTTCTATCACCTCCTTTGTCTTTATCTTGTTATTTAACCTATTTTGAATTTCAAATAACATTCAAAGGGCAGTATTGGGATTTTTATGCTTGGAGGTGGCAGCAAAGTTAAAAAAAAAACAAAACTTGAGACTCAGATCTAGGTGTTCTTGTTAAGGGTTCTTATCGGCTTTTATCAGCTGAGGTGTAGGGCCTACAGGGGTAAGTGACTTGCCCAAGGTCACACGGTGAGGCCGCTGAATTCCCTACGTACCCTCCCTCGGCAGGTAGCAAGGGCTGATAAGTAGCATGAACGTTACCCTGCAACCTGGGGATCTGATGAAACCAGCATTGATTTGGCAGAGACCGCGCGCAGAGCCGTGTGCAGAGACCGAGCCGGGTGCTGGGAAGGAGGAAGAAAACCCAGGCAGGCGCCCCACCCTCCGAGGGCGCCGCCGATCTGGGGAGACAAGACTGGGCTCCAGCAGCCAGTCAGAGGCCTCGTGAGTCAGGCTCTGAGTTCAAGTCTCGACTAGCTCTCCTCATGTGACCTGGAGCAAGTGTGGCCCTTCTCTGCACCACGGGAAGACCGGGGATGGACCGTGGGCCCACCGGTGTCCTGCAGCCTGCACTTCCTATGACACTAGCAAGGCCAGGGTCAGACCAACAGGCGTTCAGAGAAGACTGGGGCGGTGGGAGACCAGGAGGGGAGGGACTGGCCAAGGAATAGCGTTGAGTACCACCGGAGGCTCCCACCTCCCTGTGACGAACGGACAAAGTTCTTTCCTGGATAAAGTTCTTTCCTGCGGGCCTTCTCAGAGCCCCAGGCATGCAGGAGACATCTGGAAAAAGCCACTGGGCCACAGGATCCTTTTTTTCAGGAAGCACCTTGAAGGCGGGAGGGCCCTGAGGAACCTCTGCGTGAGTTGTTTACACGGCCATCCACAAGGGCTTTGCTGGGCGCCCCCTCCCTCCTGGCCAGTCCGAGTGGAAGACAATTGAACACGCAGAGAAAGAGATGACTTCTTCCACCTGCCAGCGGGAGGCAGTGTAGCGTGGGGCACACGGGATCTGGGTTTAGGGGCCCCTGCTTCACCGTTTCCCCCTGTGTAGCCTCAGGCAAGTCATTTCACTCCTCGGCCTGGGTTCTCCCCTCTGACGTGCTTCCCTTGGGCCGTCGCGTGGGTGGAATGAGCGGCGGACACCAGTCGTCCGCACGTAGTGGGAGTAGGTGTTCCATACCCAGCCCTGTGCGATGGGCGCGCATGCGCGAGTGCACCGCCCCGAATTTCCCAGGCTCCCTCGCGGCTCCGCACTGCGTCGGTGACTCGCTGCCCCGCGCCTGCCAGCCCCGCTCCACCCTGGTTGGCTGTCGTGGTGTATTCTCTTTAGCTGTTCCGAATGGGAACTAGGTTCCCCCAGGCCTACTGTCGCCTTTCTGCCTTTCTTTCAGGTCTCCACCTGAGTGAAAGAGGGGTTGCCCACGCTTGAGGCTCGACTTGTACCTGCTCTATTTTTGGACAGAGTATCAGCAGCTGATCCCGCGGGTCCAGGAGCCAGGCCGCAGAGGGAGAGACCAGCCATGGACCTCCAGCAGCTTCAGTATTTGGGGGCAGCACCTTAGGAGAGGAGAGGAGAGGAGAGGAGTGGTCTCCGTCCACCCCCTGGCACTGGGGAGGAGAGAAGGGAGAAGTGGACCCGCCGCCTGCCCCAGCCGGGCATGGACCAGCAGCTGTGATCAGCCAGAGCTGATGCCGGGTCCCCAGGGAGCTGGAGGAACCCCCGTCATGAGCCTGGGCAAGCTGTCACCCGTGGGCTGGGTGTCCAGCTCTCAGGGAAAGAGGCGGCTGACTGCAGACATGATCAGCCCCCCACTCGGGGACTTCCGGCACACCATGCACGTGGGCCGCGGCGGGGACGTCTTTGGCGACACCTCCTTCCTCAGCAACCACGGGGGCAGCTCCCGGGGTACCCACCGTTCACCCCGCAGCTTCCTGGCCAAGAAGCTACAGCAAGTGCGCAGGGTGGGGGTGCCGCCCCGGCGGTTAGCTTCCCCGCCGTCGCCCTCACCTGCTCCACCCGCTGTCTCCCCCATCATCAAGAACGCCATCTCCCTCCCTCAACTCAACCAGGCTGCCTACGACAGCCTCGTGGTGAGCAAGCTCAGCTTCAACAGCAGCCCAGCCGGCTCCACGGACGGCCACTCCAGTTACGGTGAGGGCCTGGGTTATTTGCCCGTTTTTCAGATGCTGTGAGACCCAGAGGGTTTAATGATTCAACCAAATCTCCAAGTGAGGTCTTTTCCCCACCAGTAGTTTGGTAATCACCATGGAGGTCAGGACCGTAAATGGGGAAAGGTCAAGGGGTGGGAACCAGCCCACTCCCCAAAATACACTGACTAATTTGGAAAGCCGCTCCCTGGACAGAAGTCAGGCCATTCCTGTCCTGGTGGGTCTCTGCAGGACAGCTCACCTGGAAGCCAGGGTTCCTGCTGCCACCTGGTGGCCACTCTTTGCTCTGCATCCTTGCCCCACAACCGGCGGCTACCTCTTGTGCTCCCCCTGCGGGTCACTGTTGGGAACCCCACTGAGGGCTGGTCCACAAGAACCCAGCTGTCTCAAGCCCCACTGTCCTGGGGCCAGGAGCTGGACTTTTGGAGGGCATCCTTTGACTCCGTGATTTCTATGTAGTCAGATCCCAGCTGCTGGTTCCATCCCTGTGACCAGCTCACATACTGTGGGCTCACTGTCAGCCACTGGCCACTGTCATGGCGGAAGACCAGGGGGCCAAGGCCAAGTTTACAGTGGGAACTGAGCCAGGAGACCTGAGCTCCAGGCTTGGTTCCACCACGCCAGACCGTGGCCCTGGGCAAGCCCCTCCCGGCTGAGCCTCACTTTCTTCATCTGCAAAGTGGGAAAGGATGATGTGCACTGTCGGTTTCCAGGGTGGATGGGAGGATCACGTGAGAGACTGTGGGGTTCCCTATGTCGGAAAGGTGGGAGAACTAAGTCTAGGTCGGGGCAGTGACTTGCTAGAGTCCAGACAGCAAGGTGGGGTTGGTCCTGGCCCTCCCCTCCCCGATTTATGGTCAGGGGCCCGCCTCTGACCCCACTCCCCATTTCTCTTCTAGGCCTGGACTCCGGGTTCTGCACCATCTCCCGCGTGCCTCGGGCGGAAAAGCCCCGTGACCGAGACCGTGACAGTTCCTTCCCCTCCGAACCTGAGCTTCACCGCTCTGACTCCCTCTTGTCCTTCCGTCTGGACCTGGACCTTGGGCCCTCTCTCCTCAGCGAGCTGCTGGGGGTCATGAGCCTCTCAGAAGCCTCTGCAGCCGAGACCCCAGCCTCAGCCCCCGCAGCAAACCCCCCAGCCCCTGCCGCAAACCCTCCCACCCCTGCCTCAAGCCCTCCACTCCGTGGACGCTGCCCCAACGGGGTAACCGCTGTGTTGGGCCCAGTGGCGGAGGCGAGGGCCAGCCTGGTGGGAGAATGCCCCCGTGCGCCTGCTGACATGGCCCCTGGCAGGCACTGGGGTGCAGGCTGGGGCGGCGGCAGGGGCAGCCGGCACTATACCGAGATGGATGCTCGGCAGGAGCTGGTGAAGGTGCTGCCCCAGGGTCGGGCCTCCTGGGAGAGCCTGGACGAAGAGTGGGATGCACCCCAGGCAGGCAGCAGGGCCCCCGTGCCCAGCACGGTGCAGACAAACGCCTTCGCGTTTGCCGATGCTGAGGACGACGACGACGAGGTCAAGGTGTGAGCAGCTGAGCGTGGGCTCAGGACCCTGCCCCACCTCTTCACCGTGAAGAGCCCAGGGCAGAGCCAGCCCCTCATCTGACAACTGGGAGAACCTGAGTTGTCCCCAAACCCTCCACGCCTCTGCCGGACAGACCTGGGAGGGAGGCCAGGCTTACTCTGGGACCTGGGTGTTCCCGAGGGCCCTGCTGGGCTGACCTGCTTCCCCACAACTGCCACTCTGGACCCAGGGGCCATTCCTTCAGCCCCGCCCCCACTGGCTGGGCAGCCCAGCCTCACAGTGCTGCCTTTGTGCTGGGGAAGCTGTCCGTGCTGGGGGGGGGGGGCAGCAGGCACACCACACAGGGCCTTTGTCTCCTCCCTAAGGGACCGCCTGCCCCGCTCCTCCTGAAGCTGCCGCCCCCCGCCCTCACTAGGGCTGCTTCCCCCACATCCCCACCCCAACCCCGACTTGTCCCAGAGCCCTCAAAGGAAAATCAGGTGTGGCCTCCCCCCCTTCCTGTGCACCCAAGACCTGCCTCTGGGTTCTGATTAAAAAAGGCTTTTTTGGTAAAAGGTGTCCTGCAAGATGTTCAGGGATCTGAGGGTACAGCAGCAGCAACACCTGCTTAAGTGCCCTCAGCTTTGGGTTTGGAAGCCAAGGGCCCCAGCGCAACGCCCCAGCTCAGAGGGGCCAAGACAGGGGTAATGAGTAACCTGGCTGGAATGAATGTCCCTGAGATAAGGGCCCAGGTGGGAGCTCTTATCGCACCAGGTGCCCAGAGCCCGCGCCGGCCTCTAATCCCGCGGGGCAGCTTGGCACTTATTCTGCTGATAACAGGGGACCCGCAGGCGGGAGTGGGTGCTCAGAGGTGTTTGGAAGTGTGTCGCAATCCCAGCTTGGCAGTCCTCTGACCTGCCTGAGCTTCGTCCTCTGTATCATGAGGAAGCCGGGAGCATTCAAGTGCATGGGAAACGCTAACCGCAATTTCTGCTGCAGAAAGACCGGATAAAGGTGGATTCTTACGTTTATTCTTAGCACTGGGGGAGGGACACGGGGTCAGAGGGGCAGGCAGTGCAGATGGGGAGCCGGGGACCCAGGGGCTGCTGCTCCCAAGGGACTGGGGAGGAGCTTGAGGCTGGGAGTGCAGGGGCCCGCCGCTGCAAGGTGCTGCCCGCTCAGTCAAGCTTGAAGGAGGAGAGGCTGAACCCGCCCTGCACGCTCAGGTAGCTCAGGTGGCTGTGGCACATCCTGTTGGGAAAGGTCAGCTGGTGCCCATCTGGCAGCTTGATCTTGAATTTGTCACTCTCAAAGGTCACAGTGAGCTGCAGCGGGAGGGAGGCCGTCAGCGGGGCAGGAGGCCCCCTGGAAACGGGCTGTGGCGGCGCCCGGCAGCTCCAACAGTGCCAGCGCGTGTCTCGGCAGGGGTTCCCTACCAGCCGGGCTCCCCCCTTTGACATTGTCCTCGGGCCCCTTTTCTCTTTGACCTCACCTTGACCTCTGACCCTGGACGGAAGCACATGTGATTCCGTTGCTCCTGCCCCCAGTTGTTGTCATCCTTTGAATTGCAGACTGTGGTGGATACATCAAAACGTGGGTTGAAATGCAGATCCAGCGTGTCTGTCCCTTGGCCCAGATTAATCGAAAACCCGCAGGGGAAGGGTCGCAGGTGAGGATTAGGGGATAGCCCTGGGTAAAACAGCTCGGGTCTTAGGACCTTTGTTAGCCACGAGCCGGAAGCATCACCAAGAAAAGGTGGTATTCATTGAGGTCTGTGCCTCAAAGCAGGGGAGGTGCCGAGGTGGTCAGGCTGGGCACTGAAGGACACACTGCGTTAGAAGCACAGGACCGCGGCTCTCTACAGGGGGGCAACTGGTGGTGGCAGTTTCAGGAGCTGGGCGTGTCCCTCCTGGGGGAGAGGAACTGCTGTCCTCAGCTATCTGAACATCTATGAAGTCTGGCCACAAACAGCTGTCAACCTAAGGTGGGAGCTCCCTGTCATGAGAAGTATGCGATCAGGGGTAGTGGGATTTCTCGGTAGGGTCACTGCAGGGGCCCCGTGAGCCCTTCAGAGTTCCCTGAGAGGGGGACATTCTGGGTCATGGGGTGCCTTCATTGGGACGTGTCAGGCCAGCGCTCCCCCCCACTTTCCCGTTACCTTGAGGGATCGAAGTGGGAGAAAGGGGTGCGTCTGCCTGCCTCCTCCCCAACCAAAAGGTGATGGAGATCAGTTCCATGAAATGCGGACACAGGTAAGAGCCTAGCGCTGAGCGGTAACCCGCCGGGTGGACAGAGAGAGGTACCTGCTTCTAACAGAGAGGATGCAAACGAGACCTCCTGGCGCCCCTGGTGGCCGCCTCTGGTATAACGTGTGTGAACTGCTGGCCTCCTGCCGTCGGGGCTGTTTAAAGAGGGTGGTGTCCCTGGCGGGGGGTTGGGCTTTCAGTAGAGGCCCCTGGCCCCTGGGGAGCTGGGCAGAGCTCCAGGAGCTTCCCGAAGCCAGCAGGGCTGTGGGAGTGGGCAAGTATGTAAAAAAAGACCCCTTTGGCCTGAGGTCGCCCTCCTCTGTGGCCATCCCATGGGGCCGCCCGGCCCGTCCCCACCTTCCCAGCCTGGTCCAGGTCTGTGGACAGCCCCCCCTCTCTCCCCACCCCACCCGCCTTGCTCACCTATCAGCATCATTGGCGATCTTGCCCTTGATCGTCAGGGTTGTCCCCCACCTCATGTCCATGTTCATAATCTCAAATTGCCCCTGCACCAGCAGAGAAACAGTCCAGAGAATACCAACCTCGCAAGTACCCAGGGGCTTTCCATGGGTTTTATCCCACCTCGGCCCGGCCCCGGGGTCTCTCTCTCCCCCGGCCCACAGGAGGGTGCAGAGCGGGGGAGCGTGAGAGCCAGAGCCCCCCACGCAGCCTGTTTTGCCTTGCTCTCATCCATCCCAGCCTCGCCACAGGGCCCGGCTGAGGGAACCTTGGTCTGCCCATCTGCGAAGTGGGGAGAGCGGTCCCTGATGACCTCACAGTCCCCGAGCATGTTCAAGCAGTAAAGGCCCGACACCCTTTGCGGGATCCCCAACTCGGGGGCGTGTTTAGTTCCCGCACAGACGGGGAGCCAACTACTAACAGAAAATGACCATGAGAGGCATGTGGGTCTTGGTCCATCCAAAAGTAGAAATCTATAAAATTCCAGACGTCATGTGTCTGAAACATCCATCTAAGTGCCTCTCCAAACCTCCCTTTCCTCACCCACAAAATGGGTTAACTGGGTGTGTTCGCTGGACACCAGTGGCTGCGTGCCCGCTGTGTGACCGCACGCATGGAGGCCCTGAGGGTAACAGCGTCCACCCCCAAGCCAGCTGGGAGAATTCGAGACCGTGTTTGGGGAGCCCCATGCATAGCCAGGTCCCGGCGCGGGCTCCGGCACACTGAGGGGCGACCGCCATCACGGTGACTTATTGTTAGCCACGGCCCGGAGTGCCAGGCATCCCCATCACCCGCAACAACAAAGTCTGAGGAGCAGAGAGAAGGAGCGGGGCTGGGGTGGGTTGGGCGCGGCTGTCAGTGGTCCAGCTCTAGCCAGTGCCTGCTCCGCCCCCAACTGGCTGAGTGACCTGGGGCCAGCTGCGCTCCTTCCTGGTCCTTGGTTGCCCTAACGTGAGACTTGGCCCAGGAGGTCTTGGACCTCCCTCCTGGGTGGCGGGACGAGGAGAAGAGAGTCAGGGAAGGGTCTGGGCCCCGCAGCTCCTCCTGAGAGCCGGAGTCGGGGGGGAGCGCCAAACTTTCCACACCAGACCCCCCCCCACACCCGACGTTAGTCACACTCGCACTCTGCACCCCACTTGTACTGGCTGGAATAGGGTCTCCCAAACACTCAAGTCCACCTGGGACCTGGGAATGTGACCCATTTGGAATTTGGGTCTTTGAGGACATAACCCAGTTAAGATCCGGTCCTACTGATTTAGGGTTGGACCTGAATCCAGTAGGATGGGGGTCCTTGTAAGAAGCGAGACCCTTGGACCCAAAAACACAGACAAACGGAGGAGAAAGCCCAGTGAAGACAGAGGCAGAGGCTGAGAGCTGCAGCCACAAGCGGAGCGACGCCCCGGGGTGCGGCCACTGCCAGGAGCTGGAGGAGACCAGAGAGGCGCCTTCGGAGAGAGCGTGGCCTGGCCAGCACCCCAATGTCAGACCTGCAGCCTCCAGCAGTGTGAGGGAATAGATTTGTTGCGGCAGCCACAGGAAGCTAACATGCCCCCTAATGCCCAAAAGAGGGTCTGCAATCCTCCCCACACGTGGGAACCTGTGGCTCAGAGATGGGCCTCGACTCGCCCAAAACCGCACAGGGAGCTACGGCAGAGCCGGAGAATCAGAGACCTCAGAGTGTCCACTCAGCCCCCTGCAAGTTAGAGATGATGACCTTGGACAACTTAATCTCCAAGCCTCCGTTTCTCTATCTTTCTAAAGCTCAGTAGGTGTCAGTAGTTATTATTATTGCTGCTATTAATCTTACGGATGAGCACAGCAAGGCTACAGAGGGAAGAGACAGGCTCAGCGCCGGGCGGAGGAAGCAGAGAGCGGGAATGCTAAAGGGCTGTGGAGACCATCTGTCAAACTCCCCCACTCTACAGAAGGGTAAACTGAGGCCTGGAGAGGGCCAGTGACACTCTTCCCCTAGCGTCCTGTCCCCATTCAGGCAAAGATGTGGGTGAATCCGGGAGGAGGGTGGCGGGGAAGCCAGCATCTCACTGACATGGTGGCTGCTCCCAGAGGCAGGTCTCGGCGCTATGACCGCTGGAGGCCTGGACCCGGGCGCTCCCCGCCTGGCCCCGCTTATACCCCAGGACATTACATATTAACTCCCCCGAGGCCATAAAAGGAGACTTTGGTCCCTTCCTCCCAGGTACCCAGAACAAACAGGCAGAAGGCTCCTCACCGGGGCCCCTCCCCTGCACCAGCTCAGAGCATCCCCCAGGCTCCCTGACCCCAGCCTCTGCCCCCGCACCCAGGAGCCCAACGGGGCAGGAGCAGAGCCGGACTGGGCATCAGGAACCCAGCACAAAGGCTGTAGGAGCTTGGCAGGCCACCCAGCGCCCCTGTGCCCTGCTTCCTCCTCCTCCTCCTCCAACAGAGACTCGCCTTGTAAACCCTCTAAGCATTTCGTTTCCAATGATGTCAAGATGCACTTTAAAAGTCCTTTGTTCTGCGTTTTGATGCTGGCCAGATGGGAGGGGGCGTGGGGTGTGTGGGTGAAAAGGTGAAGGGAGTAAGAAATACGAATTGGTTGTTCCAGAATCGTCACGGGCACGTGAAGTATAATCCAGGGGATGTAGTCAATAATAGCGTAATAACCACGTTAGGGTGTCCAGTGGGTGAGATTTATTGGGATGATCCCTTAGTAAGTTATGTAATGTCTAATCCCTGGGGCGTATACCCGAAACCAATATAATAATGCCTGTCAACTGTAATTGAAAATTTAAAAATGATTAAAGATAAAAAAAAGAATGAGCCCAGTAACATTAAAAAAATTAAAAAGCATCAAAGTCCTTTGTTCTGTTTTCTCTCCTCTCCTTTGTTCTGTTTTCTCCCCTCCCCCATGAAATTTCCGATTGCACGCGGAAGTTTTAAAAGCAACACGCGGTGGCTTCGAAGAGTACGTCTAGCAGTGTCCGCGGCGGGCACGTGTCAGAAGCCAGGAAGGGGGCGGGAGGGCTGAGGTAGGGGCTGCTGGGGATGTAAATGCTTTGCTGCTTCCTTCTGCTGCTAACGGAGCCCACGTGCTCACCGCAGGCGATCAGAGCGATGCATTAAGGATAAAAAGCCTCGCTCTTCACCCGCCCACCAGGAGGGATCCCGCTTCTCCCCGACGTGTATTTTCTTTCGCTGGCGGTTTTCTGTGGATTTGTATCCCGACTCCCCCTCTCTCCCGGTACCTGTCGACCCTACTTCACTCAGCCACCACAAGTCTACATTTCGGAGCTACATTGTAACATCAGGGAAATATTCCCCCTTTCAATGACTAAACGTACTCCACCAGTTTCCGTCTGCTGAGCACCGACGTTAACTCTGTGTTTTCTATTGAAAATGCTGCTGCGTGGCGTCTGCTGGCCCACAAAGGCTGGCTGCCTCGGGACACCTTATTTCAGGGCGGGTTCCCGGGGTAGACTTTTCCCAGAGCCCTGGTTTGGCGAGCCGGAGCCTTTTCCATCAGAGCTGGCGGAGGGGGCCTTCGGGCGGGGTGTGGGGAGGCTGGCGCAGCCGAGGGCCCTCCGGTGCCAGGAGCTGACGGGTGGCTCGCTGCCTGGTGCTTACACAGCACACCGCCTGCAGTGCCCTGCCTGCCCCGAGAGAAGAATGGTTTCCTCATTTTGTCCCCCCGGAAGTGAATTCCTTCTCAGCCTTTCTCCCAGGGCTGCGGTGACACCCTGGCAAGATAAGGAGTTCTCAAATGCTTTTTACACGGAAACTCCCCAATCAACACAAGCTACACCTTGTAGAGGTGGTATTTCTCTGATTGTAAGAGTAATTCTAGCTCACTGGAGAAGGTTTTGGAAAGTGCACAAAGTAAAAAGAACTTCAAGGTTCGCTTGTTTCAGAAGAAATGGTTAAAGACAAGGGACACCGTTCTGAATTGTGCACTTTTCTGTGTGTGTGTGTTTTACATCAATGAAAGGAAGGAAGGGAGGGAGGGAGGGAGGAGAAAGAAAGAAAGAAAGAAAGAAAGGAAGGAAGGAAGGAAGGAAGGAAGGAAGGAAGGAAGGAAGGAAGGAAGGAAGGAAGGAAAGAAAGAAAGAAAGAGGAAGAGAAAAGAAAAGAATCATCTATCCTTGCATCTCCACCCTTATTCCCTTAACAATGCCCACCTTCTGCACTTTACAGAATGCTTTCTCCCTCCCTCTTTGCAATAAGCTCAATGAGTTCTCAGGTGATCTTTGTTATTGCTCCAATTTCCAGAGCGTTAACGAAGGCTCCCAGGGCACACACAACCGGTGAGTAGCAAAGCTTGCCTCGTCTACCAACCCATTGCTCCGATCACTCTCAAAGCACGCAATGCTGCCCTCACGTAGTGAGAGGGGCATTTGACCTCCAGGAGTAGTATGACCTTAAACCCTCTGGGTGGTGGCAGCCTCTGAGGTGGCCCCTGGTATCTGCACCCTTGAATAACTGGCTCCCCTTGAGGGCGGCTGAACCCAGGACTCTGTTCCAACTAATAGAATACTGGAACATAGCAGAAGCGATGGGATGTCATTTCCAAGGTTAAGTTACAGAAAGAAACATCATCAGAAGGCTGTGTGCTCTCTCTTTCTCCCCACCCTATCCTATCCTATTCCTTCTCTCTCTCTCCCTCCCTCCCTCCCTCTCTCTCTCTCTCTCTCTCTCCCCCTCCTCCCTAGCTCCGGAGGAAGCAAGCCAACCAGCCATGTCTTCAGTAGTCCTATGGAGAGGTCCATGTTCCAAGGAACTGTCCTCTCCAGCCCATGGCCAATGAAGACCTGAGGCCTGCCAACAGCCATGGGAGTGAACTTGGCCGTGGATCTCCCGCACTTCAGCCAGCGCCAGGACTGCAGCCTTCTGGAGACCCTGAGCCAGAAGTCACCAAGCTAAGTCCTGTCTGGAGTCCTAACCCTCAGAAACTGTGACAAATGTGTTCCTTATTTTAAGTCCCTACGTTCTGGTTCATTGCAGCAACAGGTAACTAGTACACTTGGCCAAACCATTGTTATCGGAAGTTGGTGGGAGAAATAATATTCATGAAGACCTCTTGACTAAAGAATTCTCAGTCCCTGCAGGTCCTGAGGCATTCTGCTGCCTGGATCTTTTTAAAGAACCAGTGACCAGTGTCATTTCCTTCCTTCATGCTCACTAGCTTTTTCTTTGGGTTTTTTTTTTTAAGATTTTATTTATTTATTTTTAGAGAGGAAAGGGAGGGGAA